ATCATTTCCACCGTAGCTGCTCAGATGGCAGCGAGATTAGTTTCTCCCGAAATGGGCGGATTTCATTAGCCCGATGGCCGCAGCGTGGCGCAGATCTATAGGAGTGGGTGTGGTGCTGAACTGATGAAATGTATTCGAGATGGCGCGTTTACTGCGCGACGTTGCGCTCTTGCCGTAGCGTTTACATTTGTCTCATTCACGCGGCCCGAGCCCTGGCAAAATATTTATTTATTCATGAATAGCCGTTTTTAATCAAAAGTGAAAAGCGATTGCACGCAATTTCCATGTGAAAGTCAATTGTATCGATGGCTGTTGCTAAATAAAGCTATCAAACGTCTATTTAATAAGCTTTCCCTCGCACAATCCAATTGCCGGGCGCACAAAATAAAAAGCGTAATGCAGCCAGAGTCGCCTTCGTGAAAAATTAAGCCTCGAGAATCATCGTTATTGATTCGCTCTGCTGTGACGGCAGAGGCTGTGGGAGGTGCTTGCTTGTGGAAGAATCTAGTGGGTAAGACTGTGGCGGAGATTGGTGTGGGTGGCTGCTATGGGAGGGTCGTGCGAGAGGGTGGGTGGTGGGGGAGGTTGGTCGGGAAAGGTGGTACGGAGGGTTGGTATGGGAGGGCCGTGGGAGAGGGTGGTGGAGGAGGTTGGTATGGGAGGGTGGTGGAGGAGGTTGGTATGGGAGAGTCGTGGGGGAGGATGGTATGGGAGCGTCGTGAGGGAGATTGATATGGGGGCCTGGGGGAGGGCGGTGGTGGAGGTTGGTATAGGAGGGCCGTGGGAAGTGTCGTGAGGGAGGGCGGTATGAGAGGTCGGTGGGGAGATTGGAGGATGGGCAGTGGGTGTAACGATATCGCTGCTTGCTTCCACGACAGCAGGCACTTGTGAGATGCACAAAGCTTCTACCGGATAACGCCTGCGCCCCAAACAAAAAGCCTGCGAAGCCCTCAACACAGTGATTTATTTACATAGCCGTTGTAGATAAAGGAGAGTAAATTTTAACGACGTTCGGCGCTTATGCAGATGGCAGCAGCGACGGCAAATGTGCAGCTGCCTAGTCGTACTGTCACGTATGTGCATCAGGCTATGCATTTTCGCCCGCGCGCACGGTGTAGGCAGCAGACGCGAGGATTCACGAAACCAGATTAGGCTGTGCACCGCTAATGTCGTTGATTTATCGTCGTGTGCGTTCTTGCGTGCAAGTAATCTGCGTTTGGCGAAACAAAATCGCTAACGACCACGCGTTGTCCGCCTTCTGACCTATCGCTGCGAAACGTAACGTAACGCGTCGCAGAAAGCTTGCACAGGTAGGCTGCATCTGAGTGAAGCAGGGTTAGGGCGTCGCGAACGGATGCGCGTGGAGCAGGAAGGGCGGGAGACAGAAGGAAGGAAACGTGATTAAACATGTAGGGAGAATGGAAAGAAGGCATGAAACAGACAGAAAGGAAGGGCAGGCACGGCTGCCGGTTAGGTATTCACACGAACGCGCGCGTCCACCCAGTTACGCACCCAGGCATGCACGCACACACGCACGCGATGTTTAGAGTTTACAGCCGCTTCAAGTTTTCCTCAGTAATCGGCCCGTCGGCCCGTCTCCTCCTCTTCATCGTGGTTTGGCGTGTTACTGCGGTTCCGCGCGCACGGAGCTTGTGCGCGTATTGTGTTGGTGACGTGAGCGCGAGGGGTACACCCCGCTGACGAATTTGACGAATTGATTCATTGCTACTGATTACACACGCACTCGCCTTACTACAGCCCCCAGCCAATGCGCTCCACTCACGCTGTTGCTCGCTCTCTCTCTCTCTCTCTCTCTCTCTCTCTCTCTCTCTCTCTCTCTTTCGCTCTCTCTCTCTCGCTCTCTCTCGCAGCGCCGATCGTTGCCGGGCTATTTTACATATGAATGGCGCTCTCGCGGTCGGTCTCGCCGGATTTCACGCTTTGATTAAACTCGCAGCGAGCGAGCGCGGCCGCCATGAAACACCAAGTGACAAGTGACGTCGGCAGCGAGATAGCGATTTACAGCCGGCGACGTGTGCGGCTGACCGCTGGCTGTGTGTGTGTCACCAGATGACCGCTGCCGTGTGTCACCAGCTGACCGCTGCTGTGTGTGTCACCGGTTGACCGCTGCTGTGTATCACCAATTGACCGCTGTGTGTGTGTGTCACCAGCTGACCGCTGCTGTGTATCACCAATTGACCGCTGTGTGTGTGTCACCAGCTGACCGCTGCTGTGTATCACCAATTGACCGCTGTGTGTGTGTCACCAGCTGACCGCTGCTGTGTGTCACCAATTGACCGCTGCGGTTTGTGTCACCAGTTGACCGCTGCTGTGTGTCACCAATTAACCGCTGTGGTGTGTCACCAATTGACCGCTGCTGTGTGTGTCACCAGCTGACCGCTGCTGTGTGTCACCAGCTGACCGCTGGCGGTGTCACCAGCCAGCTGACAGCTAGTGATAGGCTTGTTATGCCATCCGAGATGCTGTTTCTCCCGTGTGCTGTATTATAGGAGGTAAAAGGGTAATGATTGAATTAATTTTGTTGTGTACGTGTTTCTTCTCGTAGTTCGAAGCTAGACTGGTACCCGTCTCTTCTCACAAGCTCGATATAGGCTATATCGAGCTTGTGAGGAGGGACGGGTACCAGTCTAAGTTCAAAGCGGGTTAACATGTAAGTCAATATTCTTATACGCTAGTGGGGGTCCCTGAGTTGCTTTCGCGACCAAAATAAGATGTTTTAGAAGAAAGTAGAGAATAACAAGTGATAGTTGTATAATGCAGTAGTACAGTAATGAGTTTTAAAATGAAAATATAATTAGCGTAGTGTGAAAGATTACTGTAAAATATGTAATTGTACATTGGTAATTGAAGATTACAATAAAATTAAATTGAATTAAATTAAATTCAATTCAATTCAATTCAATTGAAGAATACAATTGAAGAATGTAATATGTAGAATACAAGGGTTAACACGAAGAATTCTTTATGAAGTAGATGGACGAAGTGTCTTTCTATTTCTCTTTCTGTATTACTTGACCCGACGGCGTTGCCAATTTGGAAATAAACCGTGTCCCGGTTCACTGAAATTTGTTAGCTGATTGACTGATTCTGTTATCCATGTTTCCAGTAATTCTGTCGCTGTAAATAAAAATTTCTTTAGCCTATGACCAGGTCGGGTACGCGCTCAGTGTCCATGCCACGTATGGCTGTAATTAACCTTGTAGTGTAGGTGGAGATCCAGCACCCAGGCACAGATATTACGCTTATAGTATAGATTATTATTTTAGTATAAAATATATATCATTATCATATATAATATGAATGATATATAACTGTGAATATGATCGTCCCAACGCTTTTGTAGCTTTAGTAGAGTAGACCTAAGAAAGAGCGATTAGCTCCTATACAGACTAGCATATAATATATATATATTTTATTATAACTTTTATAGTTTTAATATAGTTTTAAGTCATATATAGTTTGAATGTTACTTAACGTGACTATGAGCTCACATAAATGTCACGAGCATATGTACGATTTTTCTACAATCTTTTTCAACGCGATATTTAGAAAAAAAGACGAGAATTTCTGAAATACGAATTTAGTGTTTTTGGTAACTTCTAATGGTTAGACTTTGCTCTGCCACGTCCAATCTTCTGGTCGTTTCTTCCGGTGAACGCGCACGTTTCGAAACACAACCGCCATCGCGATTCAAGCTTTGGCGTGGCGTCCAGTCGCAACTAACCGATGTGTAATGAACAATCACGCCACTCGTGTAAGCATTCAATGAGCAATACCATTTCCTTAAAACCTTTATTATGTTTAATTATTATCGCTGCATATAGTTTTTACATCGTGATCAAATTCGTTACTAATGAACTAGTAACGAGTTTAGAAACGTCGTGCGGGCGTGACTGGCAGACGACTCACAAGATGACGACACGCATGACGTCACGTGAACTAGATATATGTGCGAGTCAAAGTACAACAGATGGTTAAAAAGACCATGAAAACATTTATTTTGAAACATTGATAACACGTGTACAGTGAGACGATACTTTGCAATACTTGCAAGTAAACTGCGATGTGTAACAACATGTAACGATGTATAAGACCTTAATTGTTAAACATGAGTTCTTATCAATTATACTCATAACCGGTAACTTTCTATCAATATAATCTGTAATATCAATATATGACTGTTCTTTTTCTCCAGCATCCTAGTGTACCAAGCCTACTAGACCTTCTTACACGGCTCGATTATTTATAAACATGTTACTATTATTCCAAAGCCGACCGCAAACCATTATCTATCACTTCACTGCAACAAATGCACGATCAACAAAATCTTAAACCGAAATTAACCGTTTGACACGTCTGGTCATTTTCCTAAATTTCTGAGACACTCGGGTTTGATATTGTACAATCAATGTGTATATCTGCCATTGCTGGAATACACTGCATTTTTATCCCCACCGGAGTACAGCAACCCCAGGGCGCATATTCCATTACTTAGCTCATCGTACGGGTGTGATAGCATCAAACGGCCATGATTGCTTGCATCGGGAGGCCAACGTAACACAGTTACGACTGACAAAGTGGAAAACGGGCGCGTCGATTTTTTTGGGTGAAAAACGACCGATATCTCGTACGCGTCGTTACTGTCGTAACTATAGTAACTACACAGCCGGTGATTCGCGATCGAAACCGATGTCTCTAGCCGTAAGAGACGCGCAGACGAGAAATCGGCGATCACGCGTTACTATTGATTCTTCTGACGCTAGGGACGTTTCATTTTAACCCCTGGAGAGACGCGACTGGCCGGCTGCTATCGACGATAGACGGTCTTTTACATATACGGTGCGTGTACGCCGCGTGTACGGTGCGTGCACGCCGCGTTTACGCCGTGTGTAATGTGCGTGCACGCCGCGCGCACGGCGCGTGCACGGCGCGTGCACGCCGCGCGGTTACGGTGCGTGTACGCACGTACCGCGCGGGGATGTTACGGGGACGGTGCGTGCATGTACGACGCGTGCGCAGTCCGTGTACGGCGCGTGTAAGGTGCGTGTAGAACGAGTGCACGGAGCGTGTACGGCGCGTGTACGACACGTGCACGCTGCGCGCACAGCTTGTGTGCGGGGCGTTTACGCGTGTACGGCGTATATGCACAACGCGTTTGCGCGTATATACAAAGCGCGTACATCGCGCACAGAATTAGTTAGTACTGTACAACCGCGTTGTCTAAACTGTTAAATGTTGTTATTAAAAAAACCTGCCGCTTATTTCCTAAACACGATCAATACCTCACAAAAATGCGCATCAACAGCTTACAAATAGGCAGCTGCGATATTATCGTCAGAAGTACAAAATAAAAGTGAAGAAGATTCTAAGATGGAGCCCCGATAAGAAGATTGCGATGGCTAGCACTTCATTTATCGCTGTCCATGCATTATTTAATCCATGAAAGCTTTTGACGCCCGGTGTGATGTCATTTCGACTCGCGTAGATGAAACAGCGAGTGAATTCTGATGGGGCCCCAATTTTAGATTTTTATATTGAATGTCAATTTACCGTGGGTAAACCTCTTTAAATATATTAGACATAGTTAAAACAACACAGAGAAACATCGGAAAGAAACCATAAACATCGGTAATGTAAAACATCGTTACGTGTTCATGCCTTCTCAAAAAGCAAAAAATGTAAATTTTTCACGAGAAAATAAATAGTAGAATAGCGGACACGTGCTATTTATCAATATGCTTTAGGGTTACGTCCAAGTAGATATGTGGTTTTTTAGAACGTGATATATTTCGAACAACAGTTGTGAAAACAACATGCAACCTACTCACGTTTACATGTAAATAACATTCCAACACGTCAATTGGCTGCAGTAATATAAGAATAAAATAGAGAATTATGTAATTTCCTGCACCTCAACAATAATTCAGTGTTAGGTAAACATGATATATATATATACATTCGTGCGTGCGTGCGTGTGTCTGTACACGTATATATATATATATATATATATATATATACGTTTACAGACACGCACGCGCGCACGCACGCACGTACACAAACACGCACGCGCCGCACACACACATACGCGCGCACACACACACACACACACACACACACACGCACGCACGCGCGCGCGCACACACACACGCACACGCACACGAC